TGCTAGATTAGGATTATAGGTGTGAGCCACCACACCCGGCCATGTTTGTGTTTCAAGCCAGAGAAGTTTGGCTGTGAATCACGTTCTGGGGAAAATAAACTTGTTCATTCACAGATCACAGTGTGTCTTTCTTGAGCTGGATGTCTAACAGTTCTGATTCCTCTAGAAAAATTTCAGTCTTGGGATTGAGGAGTATATTAGGAAAACAGAAGAGAAAGCCCAGGTTCTTCAGCCCCCTTCCAACTCATGTAATACAAATGGTTAAGGGGTTATTGGGACCCTGAACATGCTTGAATGGGACCAGTATGGACTGTGACTCCGTGAACTTGATCACTTTTTACCTAGTATCTTGTAGGATTTGTTATATTCTATGAGTTGTATTAGAGGAAGTACTAAATGTCCCATATTCCTTATAGGTCATTCTGTCTTAAAGCAGAAACTGGGGTGGGGAGAGATTTCCCCACATCTAAAGGACCTCGGTTTTGCCTCTCTGAGGTCTGTGAGTTAGAATGGCAGTGCCTTGACTCCAAGCATTTCAAAGGTTTTATAGAACTTACACACAGAAACTATGGGGAAATTCATGCAGCGGGCTTTGGAAAATTTTGTTGGTACCATCAGGTAGCATCAGATGAATTACTGACTCATGGATTTATGTTAATCTAGGTTTGTGGAGTCTGATCTTGGAAGCTTTTTCAATTCCCTATATTGTGCTGGACAGATAGTCCCAGTTACTTTCCCAGGAAACAGCCTTAGCCTGTTTCTCTTCTGTTTCAAGGCTTTAACCCTGGCCAAGTACTTTAAAAAATGTTCTTTTTACCCCGCCAGAGCAATAAAGAAGTCCAGCTGAGGGTTTTTTGGGTTTTTTTGCCCCTAAAAAAACAAAACTAAAAAGCCCCCACAGGAGACTACCACAGTGAGGAATGTTTTCCTGGTGTTCTGAGGTGTTCTTGCTTTTCTTCCTAGGTCTTTAGCATGCTGACCCTTGGATCACCTCCTACCCTATTCTTATTGCATTTTACAGCAAATCCTTGGATGAAGATAGGTTGGGAATAGATGTATTCCTTTTATTCTTCTTATGGAGATATTTTTATTTGAACTTATTTGAACTTGTTTTGCTAGTTCTTTGATGATACTGCTCATCTCATTTGGGTGTGTAATGGCAACCAGTTCTCTGCAGGAGTGGAGACAGTGGCATTTTCCTTATCAAGATAAATGTCCAGAAAGTAAGTCAAGATCGAGGCATTCTTGTTGTGTATAGGCACCCTCAGTTCTCCAAGAGGAAGTGAGAAATCTGTTCTCCTTCAGGGAATGTGTTGAAAACAGGAAAAAAACATTTCAGGCACTGTTGGCAGAGTGGAACTCTGATCTTTAAAGGCCTTGGAGACCCTTCTGCTAACAGACGTGGGGCTATAAAAAGTGCCATATTGTGTGGTTAGCTTTTCATTGAACCTCCAGTAATCTCCACTCTCCACCTTGTTTTCTCTCCACTTCTCACCCCTAAAATTCCAAAATGGAATCATGTTTCTCAAAGTATAGTTTGAAAGTCACCTGCTTCACAATTAACTGGGGTCGCTTGTTAAATTCAGATACGTGGGCCCACTTCCTACACTGAATTAGAATATCAAACGTGGGGGATCCTGAGAATATACATTTTTTAAAAGTCCTAGATGATTTCTCATACATATTACACTTGGAACTGTAAACTACAGAATCTTTTTTTTGGGGGGGGATGGTTAAATTTTAAACTTTATTGCTGTGTTAGTTGTAGGATCCTTCTTTATTTTCTTTTTCTTTTATTTTAATAGATTTGGGGTGTACAAGTTGAATTCCATTGCATGTATGTATTATATAGCATTGGAGTCTGGGTTTTTGGTCTACCTGTCACCCGAATAGGGTACATTATACCCCAGAGATAATTTTTCTTCCCTCAATTCCTCCCATCCTCCCCTCTTTTGAGTCTCCAATGTCCATTATACCACTCTGTGTCCTTGTGAAGCCATAGTTTAACTCCACTTATTACTCCCACAAGTAATACCATGTGACATTTATTTTTCTGTTCCTGAGTTATCTCACTTAGGATAATGGCCTCCAGTTCCAACCAAGTTGCTGCAAAAGCCATGTATTTCATTCTTTCTTGTCACTGAGTGACATGAGATATATATCCCACATTTTCTTAATCCACTCATCAGTTGATGGGGAACTACGGAATCTTTGACATTATCTTTATATCTTGACTGTGAGGGAAAACTGCTTCTAAGCCTTCTCTCACTGGCAAACTAGATCATCCTTGTCATTCTCACTAGGAGTGGCCAGCTACAGAGCCCCTGCTGAGAAATTATAGTTAATGTAACTCATTTTCTGGGTTTTAGGCGTCATTCCATCCCTCTGGAAGGAATTGAATTTTGTACCAAAACATGAAGTATTCAGTGTTGTTAGCTTCTGCTTTTTAAATAGCATTCCTAAACATTCTAGGAGCAAGAGTCCTATGCACCTTCTTTGTGTGAGAGGTCAGAGTTTTCTGCCCACAAATAGACCCCTATAGTGTAGCCAGATTGCAAATGGTGGGTCAGGAGCTTGGATGGGATGGGCCTGCATGCCTCTCCTTGGCAGACTCCTCCACAGGCCTGACTAAAATAGGCAGAAGAAATTCCTGTAAACTGATGGAAAGGGCGTTTAGGGATGTCTGAGCTGATGCAAACCCCTACTGCTACAGCTGATGGGGCTGGCCAAGTTGCCTTCTGTTGAGTCTTGTTTCCGACTCCCCACTTCTAGTCATCTTACAGATGCTGGTTTATTTGCACACTCCGTGCTGATCTTGGATTGAAAGCTTCTCATTGTTTTTGAGCTTGGTGTTTAGATAACACCACATGCCTGTGGCAGCCAGGGCATCCTCTAAAGGAAATGCCTAGGCTCTGACAGGCCTGTCATTCATTCTCAGTATGCAAGTGAGTGTGGCCTATGTTTAGGACCATTACAAGAACATTTCTCTGCAGGGATTATTACTTGGTGCCTGCAGGGATACTGGGCTTCTTGATTTCTGGAGTTCTGAGGATGGTTTTCTAAGTCTCTTCCCTCTTTCCTTTCATTCCAATCATAAGAGGATTAAAGGCTGTTTTGCCCAAGTCTTGTTTCCACACATATCTGCAGTACCAGAGCATTCTTCCCTTTGGTGAGAAGACTGCTTTGGGGGACACGGGACTGACTGTGGCAGGGGTTGGTACAGGCTGTTTTTATGACCAGGCTAGGTTGGCAGCTGTCCCTGCACTGTGGTTTCAGGGCCCCTTTCCCCATAGGATTATCTCCTTTCTTGTCTGCTTCATCACTCTCTTGCCAAAAAGAAAAAAGAAAATGTATTATCTTCATTCAATATTAAAACTTTTCTGGTAGCATATAGCTCTTAAAGTTTTCACTTGGTAAAATGCCATTAAAACTTCTTCCTTAAAAATATTTCAAATAAATCTGCTAGGCTCTAATGTAGGTCTGTGATTCTCTAGAATTTATAAGCTTTTTTCTCTAAAGCTACTAGGATCATTGTCTCTTCATGACAAAAATGTCTGTGAGACAGAGTGAGTCAGTAGTTCTAACGTGGCACTCATTTTTACAGTATCCCTTACACTTACTTAACTTCACTTTCCAACCAATAAGTAGTTCAGTGCTTCAAGAATTGAACCTGAAATACAAACGAGACCTTGATTATAACATGGGCACTGAGCAGTCATCCCTCTATAATAAAATAGTGTCCAGGTAATCAAGGATCCTGATATCTGAAAGATAAAATGCACATATACCCTCTTATTAATAAAATTAGTATTGTATAATTATTAATGTTCGTGGCCATCCTGATTCACTGTAATAGTGAAAGTATCTTCTGAGTCATCAAAAGAAATTATTTAGAACCGTACTATGTGACTTTTTAACAAAATGTTGTGAACATTATGAAACTACAGAAGACTATTAGGTGAAACAGAATATGCCATTCTCTAGTGAAGCTAGATAAGTGAAATTATATGTATTAACAAAAGTATATTTTAAAGCTAAATATAAACTTTTTGGGAATTATAAAGGGAAACAAGTCCTCTTTCTTTTCTAATTGTTGCACTACTTGCTTTGCATCTAAATTTTAAATTTTTCTTTAATATTTACCCTCTGGTCGTGCCCTGTAGAATATAAAAATTCTTTGTGAACAGATTAAAATTTTAAAATAGGGCTTGGCACAGTGGCTCGCACCTATAATCCTAGCACTTTGGGAGGTGAGGCAAAGGAGTTGGAGACCAGCCTGAGCAATATAGCAAGACCCCACATCTACAAAAAAATTAAAAATTAGCCAAGTGTGGTGGTATGCACTGGTGGTCCTAGCTACTCAGGAAGCTGAGGCAGGAGCATCTCTTGAGCTTAGGAGTTTGAGGTTGCAGTGAGCCACGATAACGCTACTACACTCTAGCCTGGGCAACAGAGAGAGACCTTGTCTCAAAAAGAAAAGGAAAAAAAGATTTAAAAATAAATGTTTGTTATACTTAAGTAATAAAATTATTACTGTTTTAAAAATATCCAGAATAAACAATAAAGTATTATTCTTGCTGATGGTTCTTATATCTCTAATATAGAGGATAAATATATTACTTAAATATCATCCATAATTAGCCAGTTGGGATGGACAGGACTTACTTACATCCCAGGGTCTTGACGAGTATCTCTTTTTAATATGTCTCTTCTTTCAAGATGTTTTTGTTATCCTTTTCTTATGAATTTACTGGTAATTTACATTTTGGAAATTTAAAAGAGGGACTGACAATTTAAGTAACTTTCTTGAAAGTAACCAAGGAGCCATTCCTCCCCTCATTATTATCTTCTAGCCACTGCATAAAAATACCCTTTTGCTGAAATTCAGGTATACAAGGCTGACAGGAAGTCCTGAGCACATGTGAAGAAATAAATTCAGTGTTTTTCAGACTGTTGTCTAGCCTGCCTCATGCCAGATCCTTTTGCTTTCTGTCTTCCAGTTCTCTCCTGCGCTATGGTGGAAACCTATCCCTACAAAGTGCCATGAGTGTGCGATTCAACAGCAATGGGACTCAGCTCCTGGCCCTGAGGCGTCGCTTGCCCCCTGTCCTCTATGACATACACTCTCGCCTGCCTGTGTTCCAGTTTGACAATCAGGGTTACTTCAACTCATGCACAATGAAAAGCTGCTGTTTCGCAGGAGATCGTGACCAGGTATGTGCACTTTGCCTCCTGCATCCCACACTCATGCTTTCCTCTCTGATTGTTCTTTTGGTACTCATCTTTATTTCTTGTTAGCATCAATTGTTCAGGTAGAAACAATTAAGAGGAAACAGTGTCTGGGGACATTCTGGCTTAATAGAGAGTTTCTTCACCAAACCTGCCATGGGGTACATACAAGGCACATACAGTAAACCTAGGCTGGCCACATTATGGTTCTGAGCAACCTGCCAAGATTATTAACAGATTTTAAGCTTCTAAGAGTGTGCCATTTCAAAAGAAAGGGGGAAGTCTGTGGAAAATTAGCCTGCCAGTGAGAGAGACTTTTTTAAAAATCAGTAAAACACAATGATGAATGAAACACCCTAAGTACCATCCAGGGGACATGTATCTTGAATAGCCTCTTGGGATGGCATCTTTTTCTTGGATTAAATGGGCTGAGCAGCTTTGTTTGAGAGGGAGCCAGATGCTGACTCTTTTTCTTTTTACTGCCAGCATCACAACTGGGAGTGGAAAACCCAAGCTGTGAGTTTCCAGCCTTTTTTCAGTTTCACTGGGAATGGAGATACTGATGTTGACTCAAAGCTGGCAGTTTAAAAACATACTTGGCATTCTTATGCCTGTCTGTCTTGGCCATAGAAATTCTAAAGTGGGTGTCAGTGACCAGTTGGACTAGTCTGGGTAATAGAGCTGAATAAAGACAAATAAAAAGAAAGATTGATCAAATAAACAAATGCAATTTTTTTTTCTTCTTAAGCACATATCTTATTGCTACTTCATATATAGATTGGAAAAAAGAGAAACCTTAGTCTCTTGCTAATAGTGTTCTCTTCTTTGGGGCTATCAACTATGTCACGTTTTGACATATAATTCTCACATGCTATACCCCACCTCTTTAGAGTTATTTTTTGGCATAAAGGAAACAATTCTTTGAGAACCTGCCAAGACCCTGCTTTTTGAAGGCAGAGCTAGAATTTTTCTTCCTAGACTGAGGTTGATAGAGGCTCCCTAATATTGTAGTTGAAGGAGTAGGCTTATGTAGTAGGAACAGAATGAATGCTTGTTGAACTGTGTGGCATGTAGATAGATGAGAATATTTTAAGTTTTCTGAGCTAGGGATTTCCCCTTTTATAAATAGAGACTATATATCCAAATTCAGACTTTATACTCAAGTTGGAGTCTTAGGGCCTACTTAGCTGAGATCCACACTGGAGACCACTAGGTGGCCTCAGTTATATAGGCAATGTCTCCTTGGAGAGGCCACAGCACCTGAATGATTTAATTTTTATTTGCCTATATGGTGCTGGAACAGTTTGTTTCTTGGGTAGGAAAAAGCAATTGCTAGAGATGATCAGTTTCATAATAGAACAGATAATTGCCTATCTGCAAAATGGTTGATTTGGCTTCATTTGGCTGTGGAAATGACAACCAAGCCTCTCCCTCCCTCTCTTCCTCTTTTCCTTCTTTCTTCCTTGTTTTTGTTGACTTTCCATCTTCTCTCAGCCTCTTATACTTGTAATTCTTATTTTAATGAATAATAAAGAACATGAAGTAAAGGCAGTAGTTCACTAGGCTTTATTGCCAGAAACACAGGGTCTGATGGAAAGGTGAAGGAACATGGATGTTATGTTTTCTTTGGGTTGTATTTAGCAGCCAAAACCTGTCTGCATGGAGTCCTTAAAAGACCCAGAACGAAGGCCTGTTGCCAAAATATAGAGAACCTAGACCATGGTTTCTCAGCCTTAGCACTATTAACATTTTGGCTAGATAGTTCTTTGGTATGTGGGGCTATCCTCTGTGTTATAGGATAGTTAACAGTATCCCTGGCCTCTGCCCGCTAGATGCCAGTAATATCTTCCTAAGTTGTCCTCCAGACAACCAAAAATGTCTCCAGACATTGCCACTTATCCCCTGGGGGGAAATTGCCCTGGTTGAGACCCTCTGATCTAGATTATAACTACCAAGTTTGCTCAGATGCATTGGGGCAGGTGTTGCCACAGGTAGAGCCACAATAAGACATTTTTTGATGGTTCTAGGTGTGTACATTGAAGATATAGTTGTTTTTGCCTTTCAGTTTATATATAATGATAAAAATATTGAATGGCTTTTGATTTTCTCTATTTAGATAGGCTCATTTATATTTGTGACTTTTGTCCTATGGGAAGAGTTTATAAATAAAATTATATTCTCTCAGACTAGACTGCTTTTTGGTTGGGATAAGTAGTTTCTCTTGGATGAAGGAGGATGCGAAGTCATTGAATCTAACTTTGGATCAGTTAATAGAGTTAAAATCTTAGAAGTCTGTGCATATTCCCCATGTAGATTATCAGAGGTGTATAACTTAGGCAATAGAAAGCACAGAGATTTATGTTTGGGTTTTTTTGGTTCATTCCTTAGGGACTAAGAAATGTGGCGAATTCATCATTGTCTTGTCTCTAAATCCTGGCACACAATGAGAACACAATAAATATTTGCTGAAGTGAATCTTGAGTACTTTGGTCAATGTGTGGTATTTAACTTTCTGGGTCTAAGGCTTTTCTAACTGTAAAACAGGATTGATAAGTATCATTTTTCCTGCTCAACTTCCCGAGGCCTTTAGGAGGATGAATTAAATAATGGATTTATAGTGAAACTGATTTGCTGAGCTTATAGTTTTTAAAGTGTTACACAAGAGGCCAAACTTACTGTCGCAGTCCTAGAACATGTCTCTCAACGGTGATTTATGGGCTCACACCTTCCACACTCAGGGCTAAAACAGCAGCTGTCATGGTTACAGTATGATCAGCAGGACTGACATGTATATTCTCTGACTAGTCCAGACAGGATCTTTTTTGCTGCTTTCAAATTCCAAAACCTTCCCTTTCCTTATATTGGTCTTTATATTTGATCTCATTCCTGTATACTCTGAGAATGCCTACAGCCTGAGGCTGTGTGCTCTGGAACTCTTCATTTAGTCATAGGCTGGGTAACAATCCCAAAGAGGAATCTGAAAATTTCCATAATAGGAATGAACGTGGACAAGTAGTAAGGGATTCTATCTATCTGAGACAATCTTCTAGCTTTTAATTACAATGAGATCAGTCAGTCCATACAAGTAGACCCAGATATAGTCTAGAGCTATGGTCCCCGACCCCCAGGCTGCAGACTGGCACCAGTCTGTGGCCCATTAGGAACTGGGCCACATAGCAGGAGGTGAGTGGCAGGGAAGGGGAGTGAATGCAGTAAGCTTCACCTGTATTTACAGCTGCTCCCCATCACTCGCATCATCACCTGAGCTCTGCCTCCTGTCAGGTCAGTGGCTGCGTTAGATTCTCATAAGAGCTCGAACCCTGCTGTAAACTGTGCATGCGAGGGATCTAGGTTGCATGCTCCTTATAAGAATCTAATGCCTGATCTGAGGTGGAGCTGAGGTGGTGATGCTAGTGCTGGGGAGTGGCTGCAAATACAGATTATCATTAGCAGAGAGGTTAATAGTGCAATAATAATAGAAATAAAGTGCACAATAAATGTAATGCTCTTGAATCATCCCAAAACCACACCTAGTCCATGGAAAAATTATCTTCCATGAAACCGGTCCCTAGTGCCAAAAAAGTTGGGGACCGCTGGTCTAGAGAGCCTGTACTTCTTTTTAGACTATCCTGGGTTCACTAGGTAATTCAGCAACCTCAAAATGAAATTAACATTTTAAGAAATTGGACTCAGGGAATGAAGTATAAAATATGCCGAGTCTACTTTTTGTCTCCCCCATGCTCATTGCCACCACTGTAGACAAATTCTAATTACGGAGCTATTAGAGGTAATTTTGTACAAATCCTTCCTTTCACAGATCAGAAAACTAAGACTCAGAGAGGTTAGGTATACAAGTTTGTAGCTGAGCCAGGACTAGAACCCAGATTTTTGGGCGTTCAGTAGAGACTCCTTTTCACTATACAAATGGTCACAACTTGATGCCAACAGGAGCAAAGCAGGCAGCAAAAATGAATGAATTGGGCTGGGATTGGTGGGAACCGTGGCCAACTGGAGAGCCCATCCCACATCCCATGTAAATGAGACTGCTTCTGCTCAGCTTCAGCCCATTGTTGCCATGTTGGCCTCTGTGTTGCCAGGACCTCTAGTTTTTTTCAAGGGAAAATAGAAATAAAGATTTTTATGTGCAATCTCCTGATTTTTAAATATTGCAACAAATTCATACTTTATTATATGGATAAAACAAATCTGTGCACCATACCTATTCTGCTCTGGAGCCACCAGTTTGAAACCTATGTGCTTCATTCAGCAGGATGTTTTTTCTCATGTTGTACTTTCACAGTCTGTCACTAGTTCATGGGTGAGTGGAGACAAGTTCCTTTTTCCTAGTTCCTACTAAACTCTTCCTAACTTCATGCCTTTTCTCCCTCCATCTTTTAAAATAAGAAAGGAGATATTTACTGAGCATTTACTGTGGGCCAGATGCTGTGGTAGACACATTCACATGACATTGCCAGATGGTACCCTCTAAGATTTTCACTCAAAGCCCTATATACAATCTGTCTTCCCCACTTTTGGCTACAAATACATGGTTTGTTTATATATAT